AGCGAAGTATCGTGTTACGTGGACAAGCCGCTAAATAAGCACAGAAAACATGATTGAGAGAGGTAAGGATAGAATAGAAAGAAGCAAAGCACAAAAGAACGCTACACAGTTGATAGAATCGAACACTTGACCTTTGAATTCAAGTGCAAAGTATTTACTTTTGGACTAAATTGTCCAAAAGTAAACTCTGAGGTGTTATGATCATCAAAATGAAATTCGTAGCAAGTACCCATTCTTACTTTGCTGTTTCTAACTAATAATAACATGATATATTACAATAAAAAGTGAAATGGGCAATATAATAATCTGAGATATACACACTGCACAACAAATGTGCCTTTCGTCTATAGCACATTTTTTTGCGATGAATTGAGCACAGATTTGATCACATTATACTGCATTTCAAATGTGCTGTCTATGAATACACATTCATATGCCTGTTTATCAGCACATATCCAGTTTATTTTAGTTTATTCCTGAGGAGGTATAAGCAAAAAAATAATTGTAATTTGTCAGGCACAATAATATGTTTTCTGCAGAGGCACTATTGAATGTGTCCTGTTATAAGGCAGTTGTTGGTACGAAACATTTAAGAACATATCTCAGGAGACGTAGTGCATAACATTTCCAGAATTTCTGTCATGTCACTTCTAGTGTGTCATCTGACAAGGCACAATCTGAAGTGACACACTTCCTTTTTGCAGTGCATAGTTAAACTTAAAATACGACTAACTTTAACGCATTATAGAGTACGCAAAAGTTGTTTGAAAAAATTCAATTAATAGGCAGTTGTGTACTACCAGAAACAGAATGTACTGACAATGAAACAATTTATTTATATTTGCTTAAAAATAATTGAAAGTACTAAATCTATAAAAAGCATTGCTTTTCATTCCTATATGCGTAGAAATTTTATTGTATTGTATTCATGATTGTCAAACAATTCAAATAGTAAACTCAGTCGAACTAGAAATAATTTTGACCCGACTTGATTGAGAAACTTCATTTTTTCGTTAACAGGTAATTAAACTCGTCTAGATCTACACTTGAAATCATCTTTAGCTTAAAAATTCAGTTATTTTGAGTAACAACAATGTTTACAAGCTCAACTAAGCATGTTGGCAATTTAGAGACTTAAGAAGGCACAATAATGAGAAATGTGTCCAAAGATTGCTGTAATAACAGATGTCAGTTTCCTCGCTGTAGTCTTTTGCCAGCTTTCAGGACGAAGGGATGATCAGTTCGATGTACTTGATACATAGTTGCACAATAATGGAATGGAAGGCACGGGGTAGAAGTAAAACCTGGCATCTTTCCTCATTGTGCATGTGTACTCTTATTGTTCTTTTGAATCCATCTGGAGGAGTTCCACAAAGTCTCATAAATAAAACCTACTTATTTTATGTTATAACTTGACTCGATGTGCAATAAATGTGAAATCCCACGAAGAAAAAAGGAAAATTTAAACGGAGTTTTGTTGATTACTATATCCTTTTTCTTCAATAATATTTCGTTCGTAGTAGATTTTTCATCATTAAAATAAGATAATTTGAAAAAGTACACTTCAGTTACATTTATTCTTTCGGTGTCCATAGAGAGCCAAAACCAGATTTTGGTCCGAATTGAAATGTATGACGACCAGGAGTTTGCACAATTACACCCGTTTTATAATAAAATCGTAGAGCTCGTGCCAATTTTTCATATGTCATATCATGTATCGTATTTCGTCCTTTAACATCTTTCCATAGAGCAGCTATTTCATTTGGTTTATGAAGTTTGAATATGCCCTGCTTTGTGTTAACATACGAGACATATTCACGGTATTGTGGTTTGTCCAATAACATGTGCAGAAATTCGAATAATAAGGGACGACGACGTTTTTTTGTTTCGGGATCTTCAGTAATCCATTCTCTCGATTCTAGTGCTAGAGCATTGCTTAGTTCAGTTGTTAGCGATGAAACTGCTGAGGAAGGAAGTGAAGAAAATGATTCATCGATTAGGTCTATCAACGAATTCGTATCATCTTCATAAACGTCATCTGGAATGTCATTGATATAATCATTCCAACAGACTGAATCAGCTTCTAACTCTGAGTTGCCTGTTCGGTATTCATTCAAATCTAATATTGTTGACGGTTGAGAAGCGCTAAACGGATTATTTTTATCAAGTATGTCTGGTGTTCTTAATTCCACCGGTTGATCAACACTAGAGAGTGATTCCTGTTGTTGATCAGCTGCGATGCTTGTTACTGGACAACTATACATAAACTATACGATAATGCTGTCAATATTATTACCCTTGGAACAAAATAGAAAATATGACACAGAAGATGCTGTTAAAACGATACTAGCTATGCTGTTGTTATCATCGATGATACTTAATTCAGTAGTCTGGTTAACGACTTTATATACAATGTTGCTTAGAATATTCGTGTTCTAAGTTCTACCGTCTGTTCGATCTACATTTTGTACAATAGGCTTTCCTGTACTGTAGTTTGACTTACAGAAACACAAGACAGAACTAGGCGCAAACTGTGGTGGCCATATATTATCATGAAAAAGCACTGTGAGAGTGCTACACACTATGTCATGGAATCCATTTTGCGTGAA